CTGATATTCTTGGGCTGGGTGGCTCTCCTGCTGGACAGCTCCAATAGTTAAGGAGCACTTGGTTAAATCTGCATCTTGGCAATTTTAATCCATTGTTCTCAGTTCTGCTTCTGGGGTCCAACCGCACAATGGCAATCTCTCTGCCACACAGCCCCCTGAATACTGGAAGACAGCTATCCTGCCCTTTCCTTCCCTTCCAGGCTAAACCTCCTCCGCCCAGTTGGTCCTTGTCCTGTCCTATCTACAGAACCCTTGCTGCCCTGGGCATCTTCCTCTGCCTTCTCTCCAGCTCACCAATCACCATTCTAAAAGGCACACCAAGAAACAGGCACAACACTCTACAAACAGTCTGGCACTGGGGCTGCCCCATCCATCAATCAGTCGTTCAATCAACACACATTTATTGAGCACTTGCTGTGTGCCAGGCACTGTCCCAAGTGCTGAGGACAGGGAGTAAGGACTGGATCTATGATTTAACTGGCCGTAGATCTACCAAGAGAGGCCAGCACTTTTTAAGGAACTTACAGTCTTAGAGTTATTCAGAGCTCTGAGAGGTTGTGACTTGTGCCGGGTCACAGAGACAGCAGGACTCTCATTCCATTACTGCACGGCTGGCAAATGCTGGGGTATAGACCCAAAACTGAAGCCTGCCCTCAGGGAGCTTGTATTCTCCCATGTTCTGGACACAATGCCTCTCTTTATAGCCTCTTCACCTGATTAGTCTTGTTGGCTCATATTAAACATATAATCCGCAGAAACACCCCTGATCTTTTACAGGAATTCAAGGAAACTCGTCAGAAATGTCTAGGAAATGATTGACTCAGAGCAAAGAAAACCAAACCCCCAAAAAAACAACGTATATCATGATTACAACAAAAACAAGCCTGAAAAGCGACCAGACTCGCATTAAACACAGTGAAGTGATCAGTCTTGGTTCCACAAAACATATGATGAAATACACTTTCCTCCTTTCGTTATTAGCCTGGTGGAGTAGTAGGGATGTGGAATGTTGCATACCCTGTCAGACAAGGACACTGACTCGATTGGTTTTGCTGGACTTTTCCTTTGTTACAAGGGAAAATTCAATAGCGGGGTGGGGGTGGGGGAGACTGGGAAATGTCTGTGATGGGTAAAACCAGAGGCATCAATAAAACTTTTAAGATTCCATAAAACAGCATCAGGAGTAAATTTTTTAAAAAGCCCTGACTTATCTGAAGGCTCATCTGTCCAAAGAAGGACCTGAACAGCTCAGTTCCCAAAGCCCCGTCCAGCTTCCACATTCTAGGGCACCAGGAGAGTTAGGGTTCATCTACCAGCCACAGCAAGTTCACCAGTTTAGTCCAGATTTCAGGCTGAGTTTTCTGACTCCTGCCAATGCAAAGTTCTAAGTGGTGGCCTGGTGCCCTGCATGTAGAGTCAGAGCATTGGGTCTCAGTCCTGGCTTTGCTACTTCCTGCCTCGGTGACCTTGGGCAAGTCACTTCACCCCTACTCTTCAGTTTCCTCATCTATAAATAAGGGGTTAGACTCAATGATCTCAAAGGACCCCGCCAAATCTGAATTCAAGATCTTAAGATATTCTATTTTCTGAGCAGGTCATGGGTTGGGTTGGAATGCTAAAGTATCCCCCTCTACCACCATCCTTGACTACGGAAAGATCTTCAAATTCACTTGAGAGTCATACTGATCTAATCCACCTCTCCAATTGTACTGAGTCCCAGAGAGGTTCAGGGCCTGGGGTGAGGAGTTGTAGAGCTGGGATGCAAGCCTGGTCCTCAGAACTCAGTAGAAGGGTTCAGTGGACAGAGCTCTGGAGGCAGAGGGCCTGGGTTCAAATCTCAGTCTTTTTACTTACTATCTGTATGACATTGGACAAATCACTGGACCTCTGGGCCCTGATTCTCTCCTCTACATAATGAGGAGGAGGTGCAATAAATGATCCCTGACCCCTATTCCAGCTCTAAATCTGGGATTCTACACTGGATGGATCTTGTGTGAACCTAGTTATTTAAATGCTATCTCTCTGATTAGATTGGGAACTCCTTGAGGACAAGGACTCTTCCTCTTTTCTCCTCAGCACTTAGCACAGTGCCTGGCACAGTGGGGACAGGGCTAAGGAGGGGTCCCAGGTGAGGAAATTTCTTCTCCCCGTGCAGGTTGGCACCTTCTCTGCCACTTCCATTTTTACAGAGTTACCTCTAGGGCAGCAGTTTCTCATTTTGGGAGAGTCCTGGACCCCTCTGGCACTCTGAGGAGATCTACAGTCCTCTCCTTCGAATAATATTTTTAAATGTAAAAAATACAATGCACAGAATTACAAAGGAAAGCAAGCATAACAAAATACAGTTATCAAATATTCATACCTTTTTTAAGTTTGCAAGACCCCAGGTAAAGACTCCTTGCTCTAGAGCAATGAGAGGTTAAGTGACACGGCCAGTGTGTGGCCAAGCCAGAACCTGAACCCGGGTCATCCTGGCTCTGATGATGGCTCCTGTGTCCACTCTACCAAACACCCTCCCCTGGCCTGACCCACAGCAAGCACAGAAATGTTCGTTGAGTTACTGCTCAGTCTTCCAAGAGGAGGCTTTTAAGGAGCTTACTTAAAAGTACTATCCATGGAAAGTTCTACACAGTCAGCTTTGGGATTTGTTTTCCAGCTTGAAAGTGGCCCCTGGCTAGAATGTTCATGATTCTTTTTAAATTGTTCACTTGTAACTCTGGCCCTTTCCTTCCCACACAGACTCCCCTACTAGCTAAAAGTGCATCCTGCCAAGGACCGTCCCAAATAAAGCCCTGATCTGACATCTTGAGAAGCTGAACCTAATTTAAACACTGTGGCAGCAGTCTCCTGTATGAAATCTCCCCCACAATTTATGTTTCTCTGGAAATCCGGCCTTCATGGTAATCAGACAGAGCTTATTTGCGGCAGAAGAGCATGTCTGCCTACCCCCTTCCACCCCCACCCAGGGACCATATTTCTTCTCTCAGCCAGGAAATCAGTTTCAAGATCCTCGGCTTGGCCTCCAGGTACAAATGGCAGATGTATGGGGGGGGGGGGAATGTTTAAGCCTCTTCTGCCTCTCAGGAGCCTCAGACTCCTGAATCATTGTTGGGGGCTCAGAAGAAAGCAACAAGAGTGATGAACACATGGACCCGATCTCCTACAGGGCTAAAAAGACAGGGTGTTTGGAGAACAGGAAGAGGAAGAAGGAGGAAGAGGAAAGTGAAGAAGATGAAGAAGAAAAAGAAAAAGGAGAATGAAGAAGAAGAGAAAGAAGAGAGGAAAAGGAAGAAGGAAGAAGAAGATGAAGAAGAAAAAGAAAAAGGAGAATGAAGAAAAAGAGAAAGAAGAGAGGAAAAGGAAGAAGGAAGAAGAAAATGAAGAAGATGAAGAAGAAAGAAGAACAGGAAGAGGAAGGAAGAAGAAAAGGAAGCAGAAAAGGAGGAGGAATAAAGGAGGAGGATGACGACACAAAAGAAGGTCCCTACACCAAAGCACTAACTTTCATAACTTGGAATTTTCCAGGGCTCTGAGAGGTTTAGTGACTGGACTTGACCAGGGTTTTCTTGATGTCATAGCCAGTGCGCTAGTGCTCACTCATGCTCACTCTCTCTCTCTCTCTCTCTCTCTCTCTCTCTCTCTCTCTCTCTCTCTCTCTCTCTCTCTCTGTCTCTTCTCTCTCCTCCTCCTCCTCCCTCCCTCTCCCTTTCTCTCTCTCACCCCTCCCCCCCTCCCCTACTCAATAATAACAGTAATAACAACAATAGCTGAGCCATAGGTAGAAAACTTCAAGGCTTGCAAAGTTCTTCTTATATATTATCTCCCGTGATCCTCTCAACCATGCTGCAAGTTAAAGTCAGTAAAATGGAAATGATGCTTTTCCTCTGGCAGATGGCAAGAGGTGAGAGACGCAAAACAACCTGGCCAGGTCTGGGCTAGTAAAGAAGTGCCTGAGGTGGGATTCGAACTCAGGCCTTCCTGACTCCAAGTTCCCACATGCCATGCAGTTAACATCCAGAAAACTGACCCTTGGCCTGTTCATTCAAACCGCTTGAAATCCCATGACAACAGCCACAGCAGTAATTCACATCTAAGCACTGCTTTCAGGTTTAAAGGATTTTCCTTACAACCATACGAGGGGAAGTCGCTCAAGCTTACAGGACTTCCGTGGGTGCAAGCTAGAAAAGCCCTGCTGCAGAGGAGAGAGCTCCCCCTTGGGCTGAGTGCCTCCAAAGAGGTCACCTCCAGGGAACAGCTTTGTCCTCTACATTCTGCCCCAGACACTTCATACCAGTGGGACCGTGGGTAAGTAACTTACTCTGCTGGAGACAGTTTCCTCATCTGTAAGATGAAGGGGTGGACTAATCAGCTTCCAATGTTTCTTCCAGACTATGTCTATGATCCCCTGATCTATTTAAGGGATTTCTAATTTTGCCAAGGTTCTCAGTGTGTGGATACCAAACAAAGGCTGACCTTGACCTTCTCTGAGAACTAATCAGCATGGAGACCCCCAGACCAGACTTCCCTTTCAGACTCTCTCACACCCACACACTGTCCCGGGCTTCTGTCAGCCCTGAAACCCACACGGTCTCACGCCAGCCACAATCGCTGAAGAACAAGGGGGCAGGACCCTCAAAGAAGTATCCAGTACTTGGCTACTTGGATGTGACCTCTCCAAGTTATTAAAACAATGAGTTCTAAAATCCACAAGTGATGCGGTCTGGGAGCAGAGCCCTGGTTTCAGAGAACAGACTAAGTTGGGTAAACATATTTCTGGGCCTCTCAGTGGAAATCTAAACCCTGGCAAGGGCACTTGGCTCCCTCCAGTGCACACAGGGCTTTGAGATGATGTCCTTGAGAACTGTGGTGGTCACAGAGCTACTTCAAAATGGCCCCAGGCTGGGGACCAGTGGTAGCTGGGCACTTCTTAAATAAGCTACCTCAGGACTACAATCCATCCCCTGACATACACCAAGCAGGGAAGGGGCTTATTGGCTCACCATGACCTCTTCTGGGTTCCCATTGGCTACTTCCACCACCCTGAGAGTCGCATCCACTTTCACTTTGGCTCGGGTCACAAATTGGATGACTGATGAGCTATCCTGTAAGGAAAAAAAAAACACCACAGGACAGTTAAGACATCTTTTCCCCCCAATAATAACTATGCATGTTACCACAGAGCAGAAAGGGCCTTCATCTACTGCCTCCTGTCCAGGAATGAGAGTCTCTTCTAGGACACAGAAGGACGAATATGAACCGTGAGGTATCTCCAGGAAAACAATATAGCTGTAATGACTATAATGTTCTCAGTCAACAAGCATTTATTAAACACCTACTAGGTTCTAGGCATTGTGCTAAGTCCTTGAGAAACAAAGAAAGGTGAAACCAAAAACCAAAATCCCATCACCTGCTCTCAATGGGCTCACAGCCTAATGACTTATGGGGGAGGCCACGTGCAAACAACTCTGTAAAAATGAGATACAGACAGGATAAATGAGAATCAGCAGAGGGAAGGGCCTAAGGGAAGCATTAAGGGGACACGGGGCAAAGCTTCTCACACTGGCACCGCAGGATCATAAAATGCATGAAGGGAATAAGATGCAAGAAGACAGGAAAGGTTGCAAGGGACCAGGTCATGAAGGGCTTTGAATGACAGAGGAACTGGAGTTCATTGAATAGGAGCTGTCCTTTAGAAAAGTCAGTTTGTCAGCTGAGGCAAACTCAGACATGGAAAAGAGATTAGACAATGAACCTCCCTCCCTTCTTTGTGGACTGGGGTGCAGGGACTACAAATGAGGAACATCGCACACACCGTCTGATACAACTGATGGGTATCTTACAGATGAGGAAACTGTCTCCAGCAGAGTAAGTTACTTACCCACAGTCCCACTGGTATGAAGTGTCTGGGGCAGAATGTAGAGGACAAAGCTGTTCCCTGGAAGTGACCTCTTTGGAGGCACTCAGCCCAAGGGGGAGCTCTCTCCTCTGCAGCAGGGCTTTTCTATTCTTTTCTATTCTTGGTTACACAAGAATGGCTCACTCCAGAAGCAAATGGGGGGATGGGTATATTTGGAAATGAAGGTGACAAAGAATCGCTCCTCCAGCATTCCCCATCCCGCCACCCCCAGGCTGATCCACTCTCTTCTTCTTGCCTTGAAGATTTCCAATATCCAGGAATGCCCCAGCTCCAGAGGCAGCCCTTTCTACCGAGGGGGCAATTCTAAGTGCTGGAACCTTCCTGCACGTGGGAAGCTTCCATTCCTTTCTGCTACCACGATTCTTCCCTCTGGGGCCTACAAGACCACGGCTAATCTCTCTATTAAATGGTGGTCCTTCAGATACTTGAAGATGGAACTTGTGACCCTCTCGCTTCTTCTCTTCACCAGGCTCTTCCCCTTTGTACACCCACCATTGTGGTCACCCTCTTCCAGACATTCCCAAGCTTGTTAAAATCCTCCCTAAGATGGGACTGTATACAGTACTGCAGAAGGAGCCTTACCACACCAGAGTTCAGCAGAACTGTAACCTCCTCCCCTCCCCTCAGTCTGAATATAGCATTGCTATTAATGCAGAATCACACTAGATGAGCTCTAGGCTGACTCATACTGAATTTGCAAACCACTAAGCTTAACAGCAAAACAAAACAAAACTAAGATCTCAGCAACTGGCCCCATTGCTTCCTGGCAAATAGACGGAGAAGAAATGGAAGCTGTCGGATTTTCTATTCATGGGCTCAAAGATCACTGCAGACAACGACTGCGGCCATGAAATTGAAAGACGCTTACTCCTTGGAAGGAAAGCTCTGGCAAATCTGGACAGCAGACTGAAAAACAGAGATGTCACCTTGCCAACAAAGGTCCACATAGTCAAAGCTAGGATTTTTCCAGTAGCAATGTATGGCTGTGAGAGTTGGACTAGAAGGAGAGCTGAGCACCGCAGAATCAATGCTTTTGAGTTGTGGTGCTGCAAAAGACTTTTGAGAGTCCCTTATAGAGCAAGGAGATCAAATCAGTCAATACTTAAAGAAATTAATTCAGGCTCATTCACTGGAAGGTCAAATAGCGAAGCTGAACCTTAAATACTCTGGCCACATAATGAGAAAATGGAACTCATTGGAAAAGATGCTGACGTTGGGAAAGGTTGAAGGCAAAAGGAAAAGGGGATGGCAGAGGAGGAGAAGGACAGACAGTGTCATGGAAACAAGGAACACGAGCGTGGACAGACTTTGAGAGAGAGTGGAGGACAGACGGGCCTGGCGTGCAGTGGTCCACGGGGTCACGAAGAGTCAGACATGGCTGAACAACAAAAATACCTGTGTGATAAGGAAAAACCACGTAGGAGATAATGGGCCAACTTCTTATTAAAAGATATTATTAAAGGAAATTATCCTTTAATTTATATAATTTAATAATCTCTCTGATATTTCCTTTCATTCAGGATTTTATAAATGAATATAAAATACGGAATGAAATAAAATACCAGATATGTTGGCCTAAAGATTAGACAAGTCTTTGACCAGTACTCCTAATTGGTTTCTCCTCATAAAATATATCCTATCTATTCTCCTCAAGCTTAAGTTTTAAACTTTAAAAAACCCTCTCCTAACAGTAGATGCTGAGCAAATAGAATTTCATCAATCAAAGCTCCAAATCCCCTTATGTCCTGATTCACCAGATATCTGGACACCAGGAGGCACACAACTGGAAAGGTTGATAATGGGGAGGGAGGAGGCAGGCAGCTGTACAGGGAAGATGCTGCATTGGTACAGCTGCCTGAAATTGTTAATTATTCTCCTGAGCAATCATTCCTTTGATGCCCAGGATGGAGATGGTTTGTGACAATGTGCAGAAGGGAGTTTGAGCAATGAGTTGACCTGGTTTTGCAGAAGACAAGAGAGAGTATGAGTTAATGTGTGTTGAAGAAGAGTCAGAGTATATAGTTGGTGTAGGCAGTCCCTAAAGCAAGAGTCCTGGCACCTGGATTTGTGAGAAGGCACAGAGAGGGAGTGCCTCTTTCAGGACACTCAAGTGGACCATCTTGGCTGGGTGTAGAATATATCAATAGGAGTAATCTGAAATAAGTGAAAATAGGTGAGTTAGAAAGTGACTGTGTATGTTATCCTAGAGGCAATACTGAAGTTTTCTGATCAGGAGAAGAATATCAATTGATCAAGAAATATTTGTTGAGTACTTACTATCTGTCAGTCACAGTGTTAGGCCCTAGAAATACAAATACAGAAGGGAGACAGTCCCTGACCAAATGGAGTCTAAATTCTACATGCCAGACCAATGCTTTAGCAGAGTAATTTGGGTAGCTGTGAAGAGAATGGATTGGAGAAGGGAGAGGCTGGAAATTGGGAGCCCAATCAGAAACAATCCAGGTGAGAAGTGATGAGGGCCTGGTCTGGGCGTGTAGCCTTATGAGTAGAGAGAAGGAGATGAATAGGAGAGACAGAGACAGAATTCACAAGATACACATACACACACACACACACGCACGCACGGACCAGGGAATTCTTCCCCAAAAGAACTAGAAGTTGTTCAGAAACCCACACCTGAGGTCTGCCCATAGGATCCTGGACCTACCCATTTTCCAGATGAGGAAGTGGAGGCCCAGAGAAGTTAAGGTACTACAGGTACCAGATTAGCACAGTGGGAAGTCAAACCCAAATCCTCCTTCTAACACTTCATATTGACAAGTGAGGAGACATAGCCTCACCTGGAAGCCTTTCCCTGTTTTCTGCACTCCCTTGGGTGTGAGGAGCTAGAGTCCTGCCTGAAGCCTGGCTCAGGTTTGACGCCTCCGGCTGTCCAGGGCCACGCTTGCCTGGGCACCCAGCCAGGCACTGAACTCAACATTCTCTCCCACATGACCCCTTTGAGACTGAATCAGTCATCACAGGATCATTAAGCCAGAACTGGAGGCATTTATGAAGTGCCTCCTGTGTGCCAAGTACCAGGCACAGTACCTGGGATAGAAAGACAGAAGCAAAACAGGGCAAAATGCTCTTGAGGTGATGACATTCTAACAGGGGGGAAACTTGCACATCACCAGAGTACACATATATATGTATACGGTAACCTAGAAGTGCTCCTCTGTATCTGAATATAATTTTAGACACATATACATATGTATACATACCACATGCAGACCCATCTGTGTATGTACGGAGAGGCAGCATGACAAAGTGAACAGAGAGCTGCCCTCAGAGTCTGGAAGACCTGGCTTCACTTTTTCTCTTTTCCTTTTTCAATTTGGTGGGGGAGGACAGGGGAAAAGACAAATGCTTCTTAACTGAAAAAATTTTAAAACTAAAAATTGATCTGCATTCAAGTTCTACCTCAGACATGATCACTGTGTGACTGTGGGTAAGGCATTTAACCTTAAAGGGCTCTAATTCAGGCAACTGTCTGACTATGAGATACAGAGAAGGTGTTGACCTACGTTGGTACATGGAGTGTCCTCCTACATCAGTGAAATGACAGGTCCCGCCTCTATCTCTATAGGTATGGGATAGAGAAACACACACTTACTAGCTGCGTGAATAAAGCACTGGACCTGGTTTGAATCCTGTCTCAGACACTTCCTAGCTGTGTATCCCTGAGCAAATCACTTAGCTGCTCTGTGGCTTAGTTTCCTCATCTGTAAATTAATGGCAGTAGACTTCTAATGGTCCCTTCCACTTCTAAATCTATAAATCTATGAAAACAAATGCAAAGTAACAAGATGGGGTGGGGGGGCAGAGGACACTGGCAGCTTAGTAGCAGATGGGCTAGGACAGGCCTCCTGCAAAAGGTGATGCTTGAGCCGAACCCTCTCACTGGAACTGGCATTTCCTCCTGAGAGGACCTCAGTCCAACCCAAGGCCCCATCAGACCAGACACCAGCTCTCCACCCCTGCCCCCTCTTTCACCAGCTCCAGACTGGTGAAAACTTCTCTCTTCTACATGTAGCCACTCAGAGCCCCACAGGGTCCCCAGCATCTCACCTTTAAAACAGGGCACACCTGCAAATACAATCTGGACTCTCTGTCTTGTCAACTACAACAAGAGAATACACAGAAAAATCCGAGCTTCCAGGACAATGCCAAGGCACATCATGGCACCAGAGACAGCCTCAGCTGGACGCCCCATGTGGAACTCTCGCTCACTAAGTCTGAAGCACAAGACCAGAAAGTCTTCATTATTTATCTCAACAGCAAAAGAAAATGAAATAGAAATGAGCCCAGACCAAAGAGAACTTGGCCACCTAAAGTCCTATCTTTAAATTTTCTGACTCTAGCCAAAGTGACTGCAGGCATAGGTCCAAAGAAAACCTGGGCCCGACGGGCTGTTGGGAAAACACGGCAGCCTGGGGCGGGGGCAGGGGTGTGTGTGTGTGTGTGTGTGTGTATGACAGAGACAGAGAGAGACAGGGGAAAGAGACAGAGAGAAAAGAAAGAGAGGAGAGAGAGTAGGAAAAAGGAGAGAGGGAGAGAGAATGACAGAGAGAGAGAGAGAGAGAAGGAAAAAGGAGAGACAGAGAATGACAGAGAGAGGAGAGACAGAAAGACAGAGAGAGAGCATGCTCAGGGAATTATCCATTGGCAGTCCTGCTACCCGTGTGACCTTTGGCAAGTCACTTAACCTTTCTAGGTCTCAACGCATTGGTGAAGAGACAATTGGATTCGATGACCCCTTCCACCTCTAAACAGAGCAGCAATAACAGGGCCCACCTGGGCCTCCAAGGTCTTCGGGCTGTTCCACCTTCCCAGGTGCCTCCCCTCACTCGTTCCCCGTCTCCACCCATGTCCAGGGTTTCCCAGAGTGCCTCCACCCAATGACACAGACTCGTTGATGAATGCCCTGTTCTCAAGTGAACCTGCTACCGGTGCCATAATCCCTACATATGGGTCTGGGAGGCCCTGCTACAAGCCAGGTTTGTCCTTGTAAAATCAAACAGTAGCACAATCTGAGGATCCTTGGGCTGTCCAGAAGGCATCTGGAGGCGGGGCTGGGTTTAGAGCAGAAGCCTTGGGTCCAAACCTTGGCTCTGCCCCCTTAATCACTGAACCCCTCGGGGCCTCATTTTCCTCACCTGTCCAATGAGTGGGTTGGACGAGCTTCTGAGGTTTCATCCAGCTTTCAATCTATGAATCTCCTAGCCCATTTTTAAATGAAGATAGAATAGTGACACCCCATGGAGGGTGAGCCTCACTTTACCTAGGGCCAGATTCTCCTCTTGCTAATTAAACAGTGCAGTGCCCTGGCTCCCAGCCCAAAAGGAATCAGACCATTCAAGGTCTCCAGGGTTGAGTCCAGCCAGTCAAGAGTTACCTTGTTTATCTCAGCAGCCATCAGGCAGGAGAGGACTGCAGACACAGCAGTCAACTAGGGGTCAGGCAGGGTAAAGATCCCATCCCCGAGTCCAGTGTGCAAAGCACCATCTCCACTTCTAACTTGAACCATCTCCTCCGCTGTCTAACCCTCACTCTAATCATTTTCTATCCACCCTAATTTCTCTATGTCCAAAGTACCAAATCCTGTCATGCACAGTCATTAAATTTGCCATCATAATATTTACCCAAACCAGTTTCTTCCTGCATCAAAATGGAGGATGTGTATTATACAGGAAATGTTCCTGCAGCCGGTCATATAAATGTAACCACTGGTACATTAACCTCTTTATGAAAGAATTCTAACCTGGTTGTGTTTTCACAGAAACTGAAGGATTAAGCATAAGGAAAGAGGAAGAAAATAATCTCCTTTTGCAGCTAATATGATAGTTTACTTAGACAACATAGAGAGTTAACTAAAAAACTAACTGAAACATTTAAGTACTACAGCCAAGGTGTAGGCTATAAAACAAACCCACATAAATCATCCACATTTCAGTATATTACCAACAAAATCTAGCCAGAAGTAACAAATTCCATTTAAAATAACTATAGACAGCACAAAATATTGAGCCAATAGAATAAAAATGACAATACTGCCTAAATTAATTTACTTATTCAGTGCCACACTAATCAAACTGCCAAAGTATTACTTTAGAGAGCTAGGGAAAAATAATAACAAAATTCATCTGGATATAATACAATAAACATAACAAAAGGTTAAGAATATCAAGGAAATTAATTTTTTAAAAGTGTGAAGGAATGGGGCATGAGCGTACTAGATTTGAAACCATACTAAAAAAAACCCCTACAATCACTAAAGTAATTTGATACAAGATAAATAATGAGATTGATTAGTAGAACAGGTTAGGAACAGTAAGTAAATGAGCACAGCAGCCTAGCGGTTGATAAACTCCAAGACCTGAGCTACTGGGGCAAGAGCTCACCATTCAACAAAATATTTGGGAAAACTGGAAAGCGATTTGGCAGAAACTAGGTATAGATCAACATTCATACAATATACCAAGACAAATTCCAAATAGGTACATGATTTAGACACAAATGGTACCAACATATACAAATTAGAGAAGCGCAGAAGAAATTACCTGTCAGATCTATGGACAAGGGAGGAGTTTATGGCCAAACAAAAGATAGAAGAGTTCACAGGAGATAAAAAGAACAATTTTAATTACATCAAATTTAAATGTTTTTTGCACAAACAAAACAAATGCAGCTAGAATTAGAAGAGAAGAAGGAAATTAGGAGAAAATTTTTGTAGCATTTCTCTGAAAAAAAAACTCATTTCTAAGATGTAGAGGGAAAAAATAAATTTTAAAAAGATATATAGGGAACTGATTCAAAATCATAAGAATGAGAGCCATTCCCCAACTGATAAATAGGCAGCACTCATATGAATAGGCAGTCTTCAGAGAAAGAAATCCAAACTATCTATAGTCAGAAAAAAATCTCTAAATCCCTAAAAATGAGAAAAATGTGAATTAAAATAACTCTGAGGACTACCTCATATCCATCAGATTGACAAGAAAAGGAAAATGAAAAATTCTAGAAAGGTTCTGGGAAAACAAATACTTTAATTCACTCTTGGTAGAGCTGTGAACTAGTCTAAACATTCTGAAAAGCAATTTGGAATAATGCCCCCAAAGCCATTAAACTATACATACCTTTTGATCCAGCAATACTGCTATTAGGTCTACACCCCAGAAAGATCAAAGAAAAAAGAAAAGAACCCATATATACAAAGATAGTTATGACAGACACCTTTTTGTAGTGGCAGAGAAGTGAAAAATGAGAGAAATGAGAAAATGCCCATCAAGGGAATGGATGAATAAGTTATGGCATATGATTGTGATGGAATACTACAAAAAAAGAAAAATCTGAGCAGACTTTTATGAACTGATGAAAAATGAAGTGAACAAACCAGAATAACAATGTATATAGTAACAGTAATATTGTAAAGAAAAATAACTTTGAAGGAGTTAGGAACTCTGATCAATATAATAACCAACCCTAATTCTTAATCCTTCTAATGTTGAACATGCTACCCACCTCCAGACTGACAGAGGAATAACGAACTCAGAGGACAGATTGAAGTATATTCTTTTTGGCCATAGCTAATGAAGAAATTAAATTATGCATATTTGTAATGGGTTGTTTTTCTTGCTTTCTCAGTGGGGAGAGAGGGAAGTCAGAGGGACAGAAGTTATAGATGAAAGATAAAAGAAAACTGAATATATTTTTAAAGTTGCTTTAGGTTCAAGATATAAAAGTCTTTCTGCGTTGGGCACTGTGCTAAGTGGTAGCAATGCAAAGAAAAAATCCCAGCTATTCCTGAGCTCCAGGAGTTTATTCTAGTGAGGCAAAGGGCACGTACACAGATAAGCAAATAGAAAATAACTTCAGGGTGCGGGACCCTCACAATCTGAGAGGGATCAAGAAAGGCGCCATGCAAGAGATGATACTTGAGGTGAGACCTAAAGGAAGCCAGGGTATCTAAGGGAGTGAAGAGAGTGTGTATTCCACACAAAGAGGACAATGTAGAACAGGAGATGAAATACTGTATATAGGGAACAGCCAGTAGACTGATAGTGGGAAAGAGGATGTGCATTAAGCCTGGAAAGGTAGGGCCAAAGGGCCATGATGGTATTGCCATCAGTGTATCTAACCCTGTCATTGACTTTCCTGTGGGCCTTGCCAAGACCAGGGCTATTCAGAGGAGTAATAGGTAAGGCTGGACAGGGACTGTTTAATTTCCCTTTGTTTCCCTATTACCAAGGACAGTGTCTGTCCCTTAATACATGCTTGTCCATAGCCAGATTGATCTGGAACCCAAGCCTAGTGGGAAAGTGGTCCAGTGAACTTCGAGGGTTCAGGGCTGGATTCCTCACCTTCTTCAATATCTCTGTGTTCAGGAGCATGTAAAGGTCAATGCTGCGGCTCTCCTCTTTGGCCAGCGTGGTCAGGTTGCACTGGATACTTAGGCACGGGGTGCCAACTCTGTTACAGTCCTGAGAGGAAAGGACAGAAAGCTGTCACCCGGGAGCAGGAAGAAAGGAGGATACTTGCCTTAATCGTCCTGGGCTTAAGTGGAGCCAGGGATGGGGGATAATGGCCTTGGAGGCGGGAAGAAGTGGATTCAAATCCTGCCCATCACTTGCTAGCTATGTGACCCAGGACAAATCACTTAATCTCTCTCTGCCTCAGTTTCCTCTCCTGAAAAATGAGATTAGCAACACTTGTACTACCCTGAAAGCAATGGCTTTATCTCTGGAAACACTACAGAAATGTAAACTTTCATCATTACTCATCCACTCTGATGGGTATCTCATCGAGGCAGGGGAATGGCCTGTTTCCCCAGATCTCCATCAGGAGGTCTTATTTAGCTAGAAGGGCCTGGGGGCTGGGCCTGTCCTTACACTGTCTCGTTGAATTCAAATGAGGTTCTTGCATATGGGTTCCATTATCAAAGTCTTGGTTATTAATACTTTTGAATCAGAATCCAAAAAAATCACAATGGGCTGAATATGATGAGATGAAATTTAATAGGGAGAAATGTCAAGCCCCATGCTTGGGTTCAAAAAAATCAAAGGTGCAAGTACAGCCTGGTGAGATTTGGCAAAACAACATGTAAAAAAATCTAAAACAGAATACCTAGGGTTAGTTTTTTGTTTTGGTTTGAGTTTTTTGTTTTTTGGTTGGTTTTTTTTTTTTGGTCTGTCCTATGATTTCACCAATGTATGGAACTCTTGGGTCGAACAACCTCTTCTAGTAAGGCAGATTGGCATTTGTGTTGCAACTTCAAGTCTTGGACAGTTGTCCAGGGTCACAGGATCACTCCATGCCAGAGGCAAACCTTGTACTCAGCTCTTCTTGACCCTAAGGTTACCGCCTTGGGGCATCCGCCATCCGTGGTGGATGCCCCACAACTATATACTACAAACTTCCTAGGAATCCATCACGTGACATGGCAGCTAAGAGAGAGAACACAACTTCAGGGTGGATTTGGTGAACCAAAGGGTTCAGAATGGGGAGGGAATGTAAGCTTGCTGTCATGTGCCCTGCACACACTGCATGTGAATTGCTGTGTTCAGTTTGGAGGTAGCACATTTTGACTGATGTACCAGTAGGACCTTTGACTTCACATCACCCTTTGGACTGATCAGCAAAACACAACTTGAGACACACTCGTATCAGCCAAACTCTTGCTGTACAGATGAAGAAACTGAGGCCAAAGAATTTAAATTAATCCCCCAAGGTCACAGAGCCAGTTGGGGGGTAGAGGCAAGATAAGTCAATGTTCTGTCTGCTGCACCTCAATGTCAGGGAAGAGCTTAGGCAACTGTGAGGAGTAGGCTCACTTCCAATCTCAGCATTTCATACTTCTTTCAAAGCATATATTTATGTTTATGTATAATTTCTTTCTGCACCTTAGTTGCGTGCTCAGAATCTATCTGCCTCTTTTGTCATCACTACTCCTTGCCAGGCAGTTTAAATCCACAAAGCCCACTTTCCAACCTACCAAAGTGACGGGGTTAAGAAGTTACATGTTTTTGCCCAGAGAAACAGAGTGAATAGCTGGAAAAAACTCTGGATTCCAAGGCATAACTTCTGCAGAGAAACAATATGAATTCTGGGCACGAGAAGAAAGATGATTTCAGGGGGATTCAGGACTGGAGCCAAGACCACATTTCCAACCAGCCTCACTTCTGATGCCCCGTCCAGACAGTTCGTAAGTAGACTGACCTTAGCCAGTAGCAAACAGTTTTAAGATTTTGTAGAAAAATGTGAAACCATGGACTGATCATTTGTACTATGTAAACAGGGGCCTTTTGGCCTGATCGAGCTGGGAATGGGGACATTTTAACTTCTGTTACAGAACAGACAAAAGTAGGGTATATACATGACTTTGGAGCTTGGAGTGGATTGGGAGATGAGTAAGGATACCAGAGGAAATTTGGGCACAGTAAAAATAAAAAAGATCAATAAAAATCAATGACATTTTATGTTTTTAAAGGGGGCAAGTGAGCAATTTCCCATAGGAAGAAGAAACATCAGAAAAGACAGGAAAAAGTGACTTTGGGGATTCTTTTCTAGTCAGTCACCAATATTTCTGTCCAATTTTGATTAAGATTGGAACTAAGTTGTAAAAAGCATTCCTTGTTTCTGTCTGGTGCGTTAAAAGGATTATTGGCTCTCTGGAGCCATGAGATTTCCTGAATCTAAATAGAGTGCTTCGATTTAAGGTTCATACTGACAAATGCGATTTATTCATAATCCTTAAATCCTTGTAATTCAATCGCTGCAAAGGCTAATTTGGGAATAACACCCAGGCACACACATTCCTCCATCCAGACCCAGAAGATGGGTCTTTTCTCTTTGAAATTCTTTCCCGAGGAGGGCCATGGAAGGAATGCCCACTCACACAAGTGAGCCCCACAGCCTTACCAGTACTTTTCGTCCAGACTTGGTGAAAAATGCAAATATTGTGTGAAAAATGTTTTCCTGTTCTTGAGGGATAATGCATGGGGTTGGATTCTTTTGAAAAGAACAGTTTCCTTTCTCTTGACCAACCTGAAAAGAAAAGAAAAAACAACACGTCAAGACCTCAGGAGAAGATGGGGTTAGAAACATTAACCATTCCTTGGGTCGTCAAGGAGCCAACCAGTCAAGCTTAGGGGTAGCCAATGGGTGAGAGCCATAGATAGAACACAGGAGGCAGTTGGCAGGGGCCACGTGCTATGTTAACCGTCCTTCTACAATACTTTGGACTCCAAGGAAGTCCATGTGCTTGTAACCTGTGCTGAGCCAGTACACAATTATTCTTGGCAAGAAGGGATGGCCTAGTTGATTGGAATTCACAGATAAACCACATCACCCTCCCCCTTCTCAAAATCTTTCACTGGAAGTTTCTGAAAGATGGTCTGGCCTGAATTTCAGCTCTTTTTCTTTCCCCTTCTTCCAGGAGATGGAAATAGCCAGATCATAGTGGAGAAGGCGGCACGGAACCAGAGACTGGAAAGCTAGTCCCTGAATAAGCAAAAGGGAGCAGAGATCAGCAGTAACACGAGAAAAACTCGAAACGACATTCATCTACCCTTTTTAAATTTGCAAAGCATACTGCAATAATGTGAGCCAGCGTCCTGTTGACGCTCCCATCTCCATCTCTGATTGCTTCTGTTTGAAGCAAGCTCTTGGTCTTTGGTTAATGATTATTGCCTATCATTAGAGCACGCCTTCGAATTCCGCTCCCCATACTTAAAGTCTCTATTTGTAGCACAGACAATTGGTCCTGATGCTTTTGTATGAAAGGACCCTTCTAACTTTGGCCAGTATTTTTGCGTCACATTGCTCTTACATAAACAATCCTCTTTGTGCCTTTGCCAAGACTGCCTCCATGTTGAAAATGGAACCCTCCTTAGGTCTGCTTCTTGGAAACTCTCGGTTCAACCCAGGCACCAACCCCTCGGGAAAAGCCCTGCCTGAGCCCTCTAGCCATCGGCGCCTTCTCCTCCAAGACAATCTTCCATTTATTCAGAGCTGTTGGCATGTTGTCTTCCCCATTAGAATGGAAGCCCCTGGAGGGCAGGAACTTCATTTGCTTTTTCTTTGTAATGTCAGTACCTAGCACTGTCTCTGTCACACAGCAGGTACTTAATAAATGTTCATTGATTGTAATAACCAGGCGCTCACTCTCTGCTCACACAATTACTGTACACTTGTACGTTGGTAGGTTATGTTCCCTTCCTCAGCAGAATGTCAACCCTGGGCAGACAGCCCCTGGTTTTCACTTGTCTTTGTGTGCCTAGTGCCTGGCACACAGCCTGGCACAGAGGAGGCACTCACTCCAGCCGTGCCTGTCAACTGCCCGGATCAGAGGAGGGAGGGGCACGGAACCTTGTACCTTACTTTGCACTGTCCCCACTCAGTCTCTAGGCAGGGAGGGGAAGACTGAAGCATGGAAGGAGCCTTTCCCTACTTTGCCAATTGCTTTCATATGCTGCTCTGGAGGAGTGATTCTCACTAGAAGTCAGTCAGCACAAAGGCCAGCCAGCTGTGAACTCAGGGTGAAGGGTCGGGAATTTGGAGGTAAGCTCGGCAAGGCAACAGTACGGCCTCCGAAGGCATTTCCCATCAGGGAACGCGACAGTCTGTCTTGGTGACCCTGTCCCAGATCTCTGGCCAGTCTCATAGACGAGGATTGGGTCAGAACAATGATAGGATGTGACACAGAATCCATCCCCAGTGGAATCTGGAGAAGGGATGTGGAAAGTGAGTCTGCGGTGAACAAGGAAAGCCTTGTGTAATTAGACCGGGGCCTGTGGTTACACGGAAATCACTTCAGGAGGGGAAGGGCAGCATTTCATCTCCCTAGTACAGGGTGGTCCATTTTTCACCAGCAAATGTCTCACAGAAGCTAAGAGCAGGAAGCATCTTCCCAGGCCATCTTGATCAAGCCCAGCTTCTGAGGTCCATTCCAAGATTCTTGTAAACAGCTGTCTCATCTATCATAAAAGCTCAGAGGGTCTTAGAGGCCGCCCTGTGCAACCCACCCACACCTGCCTGGGAAGCCCCTGTTCACCCAGCATTGGCCGAATGAATTCCAGTGAGGGGTAATGAATGCATCACCTAGTGAGGCAGGCCATCCCCATTTGGAATGGCTCTGTGTCTTGGGAAGCTTGTGGAGGCATGTTTGTCAGGGGGAAAGGTGCCAGCATGAGGGACAGCCTCTGAGATTCCCTGATTCTGAGATAAATGGGGCCACAGAATCATGGATGGGTCAGTCCAGTATCATGAGTCTCCACATCAGGGCAGGCATCAGGTCATTGTGTATTCATTCTTTCTGTAGGACATGATGGAGAGAAATAGATTTTCAGAAAGTGGGAAATACTGATGTCTTCTTTGGGAGATTTCTAACTGGCTCTGTCCTAATGACAAAAAACAATCTTGCTCCAAAGAGGTCATGATGGGAGGGAGAGATGGTGGCAACTCTCAAGTTGGCTATATGACCCTATAGGCATCTCAGAGCAATCCACTGGGGAGGGGAAGAAGATGGAACAAGTGGAGGTGGAGGAGGTGGAGGAGGAGGAGGAGAAGTAACAGCGACAATAAATGATTACACTAATGTGGTATAACTGTCATCTATATAGTACTTTGAGGTTTAGAAGCATTTTACACATATTATCTATCTTATTTGATCCTCACAACCCTGTGAAATACACACTATTATTATGATTATCCCCATTTTGCAGATGAGGAATTTGTGTTTGAGAGAAATTAAGTGACTTAACCAGTGTCATGCAGCTAGTGTCTGAGTCAGGATTTGACCTCAGATCTTTCTAATTTTGAGCCTGGCTCTCCACCCACTATGACACCTAGTTGACTCAAAGTCCTTGGTTCATATTTTAGTTTGTGCCTTGCCAAGATCATCTATTATGCTAACAATTGGACATGTTTTGGAGACCTTTGACCTTTTCCAGAGGGTAAACAAAGGAAGTCACCTCCTCCATGAAGCCTTCTCAGATGCTTTAGAAGGAAGGAATTTCTCCCCCCTCAGATTAGATTGGGATGGACTTCCTAAGAGTTGACCTCATCACAGGCTCACAGACTCAGGAGTTAGAAAGGACTTTGGTAGCCAGCTCCTGACCAGGGAAGTACCACTTGATGACACTGTCTCCAGCGCTTGCCCCAAAGCCCAGTACTCTCATTGGTGGGAACCGCTCAGAACTAGCCTGACCCAGACCCACTGCCGCTCTCCGGACACCTCCATGGTGCATTCTGCATATCACCCCCCCACAATCCCTAGCCACAAGTCATCCACCCTCCTCCAGGTAATCAGTCAACACTAGTTCCTAGACAGGCCACGTCAATCCCATCCTCTATGACTCCACTCAGCGCCTCTAAGAACATTCCTAACTGCCACTCATTCACATGCAACTGCCCTTCTCAGAATGGAAGCTCCCTGAGGTCAGGAGCTGTCTCTCTTTTTTTATTTTTATCCCTAATGCTTGGCCCAGGGCCTGATACATAATAACTACTTAACAGATGCTTTTTCATGCATTTATTCTTTGTCTTAGTGTCTAAAGAAGTCTAGAGCACTGGGTCCTACTTATCCCTGAATTCTTAAACAAAAACAAAAACGCTCTTGCAGAATCGAGTGTGGGGGTCAGCTTTTCTCTCAAATTTTCCATTCCTTTACTTCAGCAACCAATTCCTCCTCACTGATCAGAATCGCATCCAGAATGTTTTCCCCATTGTTTCCTTAACCTTTTAAAGAATAAAAAATATCATTAAGCTAAGTAGAATTTATAGGAGCTATTCTGCATTTGATGGAGATCTGAGAGCATTAGCAAATGTCCAGCTACACCACAGCCTCCATCATTCCTGCCTCATGCTTCCACACCAGATTTGTGATTATTTTCCTGAACTCATAATCTATTTTCTCCTTCTGGCTATGTGGTCTGTAGCATACTCTCATGAGAAGACTTCTTATAGTCTTTCCTCCACTATTCTTTCCTCACATGTTCTCTGCCATGTTACCTGCTCCTTTCCTTGGGCTCCTGCATTTATTCACCTGAGTATATCTTTTTTGTATACTACTCCAGCACCTCTTTTATTTATTCTGTTCTTTTTGAATAATGCATATTTTTCCATTGGACCCCATGATCTTCTGACTTGCAGCCCAGTTCTCTTTCCACATCACCATGTTGCCTTCGAGATAAGCTTTCAGGTTGAAAAACTTAGCATTCTGAGCCGACCTTCATTTAAACGTTGGACTACCTGAACCTTTGAACGCGGCTAATTAATTATCAACTGCTCTCCACAACCATTTCTTGTTGCTACTGTTGAGAAGCAAGTGAAGCAATGTTGTATGTGGCTTTGCTTGTTGCAAAGGCTACAAAGACCCACAGAACTAGCATCATCAAACAGCTGGATTTCCCAGGAAAGTTGCCCGAGAATCTTATGGACTCGGCCCCCTCCAGCTCGGCTTTAATTAGCTTCTGTTAGCTTTCCTTATTTACTGAGTCCAAATGTTTCCCATGACACACACTGCTCATCTTCACTGAACTTTAATGTCTGGAAAAAGTCCATCCCTATTAGGCTCTGAAGATCTTTACACACATAATGACAGCTTGATCAAGGACCCATCCACATGGGTGAATCCTTCCAAGGCAGCTCACAAAGGCTGCCCTCTTGCATCAAAGATTCCAGAGTTATCCAAATTAGGATGATGGACAATTCCAAATCAAAACATGGAGGCAATGCAGGAAAATACAGGGAGCGCATTGTCACAGGAAGGGCAGTAGACGATAGACGAGGAATTCCCTGACAAGTCAGACCTAGGCCAATTCAACAAAGATTTATTAAGCACCTCACATTGCATTATCTGATAACACTTATTTTGGATATTTTAAGCTCAGTGTGTAATCTTCTCCTATAGAATATAAGCTCCCTGAGGACAAGAACTGTTTCACTATTTTTATTTATTTTATTCTGAACTTAAGAAATTATTAGCATTTTTAACATAGTAGAATAGAAAAAGATGATTGTACATAAAACTGCAAATCTATTAT